ATGCTGATGCTGATGCTGATGCTGATGCTGATGATGGTGATGGTGATGGTGATGGTGATGGTGATGATGATGATGATGAGGAGGAGGAGGAGGAGGAGGAGGAGGAGGAGGTGGTGGAAGAGGAGGACGTGGATGACGTAGAGGGAGAGGACATCCTCAGCGTTTTTCGGCGGCCTTGGAAAGGCTGTTTAGGGCCCTCTTCGGGCCTGCTGGGAGCCTTTTGGGCGCTTCTTCAGAGCCTCTTGGAGGCTTTATGGAGTCTTCTTGAAGCCTCCTAGGGGCGTTTTGGGGTCGAAGGCTCGAAATGACATTTGTTCCCCCTCTGGGCCCCCCTCTCGGGCCCGTCCTGGGGCACTCTGGGGCAGTTTTTGGAGCTTCTTGGGCCGTTGTGGGGCCTCCTTGGGCCGTCTTGGAGCTCTCTTGGGGGCCTCGTGGTCCGTCTTGGAGCGATCATGGGGGCCTCTTGGGCCGCCTTCGACGCTGTGAAAGCCCAAGAGGCGAATTTGCTGAACCTGTACGCCTTTATTTGTTGGGAATATGGCAATCGTTACCTCTTTGGGCCCTCCAGGGAGCCCTCTTGGAAGCTTCTTCGGGCGTCTTGGAAGCTCCTTGGACGGTATGGAGGCCAGCTTTGACGTCTTGCAGCCTATTTGGGTCCTCTTGGCCCGTGTTGAGGCTCTCCTGGGCCCGAAAGAGCCCCCTCCCCGAAAGGATAGACCCCCACCCCCCCCATCCCCCCCTTCCCCCGTAAATCCACCCCAGCATCCCCCCCCAGAGCTGAAGCTCAGGCTGCAGCTTTTGTAAACTCGCACGCCGGATCGGCGAACTTCTGATCTTGTAATACGCCCGTGTGCGTCCCATAGCGGGCGGGTCGGGCGGGCGATCGCACCTTGAACGCGGGCGGGCGGGCGGACTCGCCGGCGCGCGATGCACGGTCCGTGACGGACGGGTCGAACAGGCAGGACCTGAGTGGGCCAGCGAGTCGGACCCTGATCTGCGGTCGGGTCGGGAGTAACCCTCTCGGGCGTGTCGGGCGGACGGGCCCTTGCGGGCGGGTCGGGCGGGCGAGACATTAAAGCGGGCGGGCGGGCTTGTCACAGCGCGAACTTGCGGGCCGTGATTGGCGGGTCGGCCGCGGGCGAAAACGACCGTGGGCGAAACCGACCGGGCGAACCCCGGCGCGGGCGAAGCTGACCGGCCCTTCTGAGGCGAGGAGGAACACACCACGCAATTGGTACAGTGGGGGGCCCATGCCAAGAAACACCCTGCTTGCCTCCAGGGTGCCCTGGGTTTCTTGGGTTTCGATGGTTGGTCTATGGAAAGCGTGGCTTTCCCACACCAAGAATCGATGGACGTCCTGGGGTCTCAGGTCTGGATTTCTTGTGGAAGATTTCTTTTGGTCGGGCCTCCACTGTATGCCCGAGGAGGCGAGGAAGGATATCACCTGACACGGGCGTGCGAACCAGGAGGCGTGGACCGATTGATGGCCAGAACATGTTGCAGCGATTTTCTTCGAGAACCCCCATCGAGGGCTCTTGGGACAGTAGCTCGGAATGCTGTGTGCTCCTGTGATGGGTTTCTTGGGAGCGTCGAGGACTCTTCGTCAGCTCTTAGGATTCCTCTTGGACACCTCGGTGGCCCCTGAGGGGGCCGCTGGGTAGTATTCGGGCTCCTTATGGCACCGTTTTGGAGCTCCGTGGGGTGCCTCAGGGCTGTCGTCGGGCGTTTTCTGAGGACTCTCAGGTGGACGCCCTCCAGACTGATAAATATAACAAGCTGAAGCAATACGAAAGCATGCTCCATGTTGGGCGACTTTGGCACTTGAGCCGACACCCAGGGCCACCAAGGCTGCCCCAAGTAATCCCAAGCGGCTCCAAGAGAGGCCCTGACGCGCTTGTTGCCTAAAGCCCTGGCGCATGCTGGAAGTCCGGGTTCCCAACTCTCGGGCCCGTGGGAGTCCTCCAACACATGGGGGCAGCCCACCACGTGCCAGAGGCACGGTGGCGGACTTCGTGACGCCGTCCATCTTATCTAAGGAGCTGCTCATCGTCGTGGGTGCGGGCAAGTCGACATGCGAGACAGCGTGGAATGTAACAATGTTTGCGAGTCTTAGGCTAACCTGCCTGATTCTGGGTGCAGACGCGTTCTTTGTGAAATTGGGCGAGTTGTCTGGACAGTCGCATGAGTCGCTCAGAGATCTGATCCTGCTCCGGCTGTTCTTCTTGCGTCAGTGCTTGGGGATATTCCAAATGCGTTTCTTCCTCCAGAAACGCCTTTTTATATTTGTATTTGGGGGAGAGGATGGTGCGATAGACGACCTGGACAGTATGAAGATGGAGGTGTGGCGCTCTATGCTTGCTAAGAAGATGATCATGGCTTACGCCACACTCTGACCCCTTGAAGCAGTCATCGGTTCTTTCGCCAGCAGTACCCAGTTAAGTAGTGTAGTGAACGTTTCTAATCAGCACATTTGACTTTGTTGTATGGTCGAGCAGGTTAGCGTGTGCGACGACGCGCATGCGCTGCAGCAGCATAATGGTCGTGTAGTGGCCAAGTCCTGCACCCCTGCAGGGGCGACCTTTCATGGATGGTGGCAGTCTTAGTGCTGCCCTGTTCAGGAGTGAGCTCACGATGGAGCGGGAACGTGCAGAGCCCCAGCAGATGCGGATCGGAGAGGCAGAGTGCTCCGGGATCGCCTGTACTCGAAGAAGAAGAAGAAGAAATGCCATAAATAGAAGCGTTTGGCGCTCCGCACGGATTTCTTGGATCAGAGCGCGGAAAGTTTGTGTTTATAGCGGTGCTTCGCCTTGCAATCGAAAAATCGACAGAAGCGAAAGCTCTTCAGCCCCACGTTGGTGGCAAGTGCCGCCAAGTATATGTGGTGTGTCGCGACCAGGCACACACTGCGGCACGTCACGGCCAGGGATTGTCGTGTGCAACTGCATCTTCGAAGATACTGCCAGCCTTAGCATGTCACAAGTGGGTAGCCATCACCGATTCCCACCAGGTATCGGGGGCTGCTAAAGCTACCACTGGCCCAGGGTTCCCCCAGTCGTTCGCTCCATTTTGGAGCCCCTGGGCCTCCTGGGCCTCGTGGGGGGTGCGCTGGAGGCCGTGGAAGCCTCCCCCAGATATCCTGGGGGCACCTTGGGCCAGGGGTACCTCCAGCAGCACCCGAAGGTGGGCGGTGTGTTCGGTGGTGTTCTGGGAGACGCTGGCGCGCCGAGCTCGGCCTGACTGGCCTTCCGGAGGGGCCTCAGACCCTCGCGATTTCCTCGCGCTCGCCCCTCCGAGTGTCGCTGGCGTCGAGTACACGCCAGTCGTTGAAGGCAGGTAGTTTTAGTTTTGGATTTCCAGATTCCAGATCTACTTTAGGCGCCTTCCTACTTCGAGGATCGAGTGGAAACCCGATCTACTTCCAACGTCTTCCTACTTCATGGTTCTACCCACTTCTTATGACCGGCGTATATCTCGCGCATGCTGCATATAATCATGATGTGCTTGCCTAGCTGCTGTGCTCGGTGTCGCGCTTGCGGCGGAGACGGCGGTGGCGTGTTCGACGACGACGGCGCCAAATTAAAATCAGGGTGAGCATGTCATTTTCGAACTGTGATTCCGGAGCTCGAGCCCTGATACTGTAAATACGCTTGAGAGTCGAAGCAACTACGAAGAGGCATCGAGCTGAGCATGGGCCCCGAAAGCGTCGACCGGAGGCTTGGAACTTGAAACACAGACAGAACGCCACGACTAGCACGTTGACCAGTACACTGCAGAATTGGTATTGGGATTTTGCGCCGGACACCTCGGACGCACAATGCGCGATGTCAGAGCTGACGCCCGACATTGGTGGCGTGTGCACGGAGCCCCGACGTCTCGTGTGATCTCGTGCTCGGGGGCGGTTAGGAGTGCGTGGCCAGAGGCTTGAATGCCGCAGTGGCGATCGCTTGGGAGCCACTGGACCATGAGAGCGTGTGTGAGAGCTTCGGAACTCCTGTCGGCCACATTGAAGCCCCTCCCCCTGTCAAGACCACATTAAGGGCTTTGGGGGGAACAGGGAAGTGGGTTGAACCATGGCGATACTTCCTGCATGGATATCTCAATATATATATATAGATAGATAGATAGATCGATAGATAGATATGTATATAAAATGTGTTCGCATCGTCGCGATTTCGTCGCGCTGCGCACAGAGGGATCGAGCTCAATAGACTCTGGCGCCTCTCCGATTCGCTCCTGCGGTGGCTACCTTCCTTGTCTTGTTGGTTAGTTTTGTGCGGTTCGTCCCGTCTTGCTTTCGGCGTGGCCACATCCTCGCCATGCTATCGTCGTTCACGTCGGATGTACCTAAGGCCTGGATGACGCAGGTTTGTTTCCCAGGACCCGAAGAAAAAGGCAGTTGAGGTGCGAACCCATTGGAGTGGTTTCGACGAGGGCAAATTCTCGCAGTCCAGCCCATGGTTGCCCATGCAGGCGGCTGGTTGATCTGGGACTCTTACGCGTGGAAGGACAGCTGGCCAGGGATCAAGTATTGGTCCATGATGCTCACATACAACGACTACGACTTTCAAAGGATTCGCGGCGTCAAGAAGAAGGGTGGGGTCGGACGTGCAGACGGCCCCTTGCGAATTGCCGCTTAAGGTTGGGCGTCGGCGATCTCTTTTCCTGACGGGTTGCCTGGCCAGCGGCCTGCGCAGGCCACCGCGCAGTGTCGTAGTAATGTAGCCGTGTTCTCGTGCATAGGACTTTGTTCGAATTCGCCCCAATCCCAAGGGTTTCTCGAGGTCCTCAGTGGTCTGCGAACAAAAATGACAACATACAAAACGCATGACCAGAGCCCCAAACCCAACCTTGATGTAGAATTTCTCTGGATGGGTCGATGCGTGCGGGTTTGGGGGCCCGGAATTGGGCGAAACCATTTTGTAAACCAGCAAGAATGCGGCGCCCAAATCTGAGTGTCCTCCCCCCTCGCTCCCAGGTTGATACTGGACGATCCCGAGCACATGTCCGAGCGCCACTCGGACAGCCCCCGCCGCGACAAGCTTCAGGCAGTGCCAAGGGGGTCACGCTGTGTGTGTCGCCAGCTCCTCCCGAGGAAGCAGGTTCGGGGGTCGAGGAGGTCTTCGTGGACGAGTGTCTGCCCCGACGAGGGCGGTCTCCGAGCGGCAGCAGCTCCCATCTCGGGGCCCACGCGGCGGTTGGGGGAGCTTCTGGGCAGCTTGGCGGGCGTCCTGAGGAGCTCGCCCCGTGGAGGTGGCGGCACTCCCCCTCCTCAAGAGAAGGGAAAGGTACCCACATTGCTGCACTTCCCTCGTTTTCACCCTTTTTGGGCTTCCTGGGAGGCCCTCGTCGCCACCGCTGGATTCCCCCCGAAATTCTGGTCAGAGCGCACCCTGGGAGAGGTCCGGGGAGCAGCGGCATCGGCATCTTTTGGGCTCCCCTCTCCCTCCCTACAGGCTCGGGAGGGCCTTCTCCGGACGTCAGCACATGCGGCGACGCCGAGCTGCTGGCACCACGTGAGCGGGGGCTCGTCGATGCGATGCCGTGGCTGGGAAAGCACACCAGGAGTTCCCACTCCAAGCAGTTGCCCCTGACCTCACATTCCGTGTGGTGTTCTGTTCCTGCAGACGCATCTCCGGCCCGTGTGGCGTTCGGAGAAATACCGTCCGGAGCGTTTGCTTAGCGTGTCGCGCGGCCAGGTCAGGCCCTCCATGCTTCGGCGCGACAAGCTGAGCCCCCAAGCATCAACCCTCCGAGCTTCTCCGAGGGTCCCGCCCCACGAAGCAGAGCAGCACGCGACCTGCTCGCAGGGCACAGCGTGTCGCAGGGGCACTCGCCGCGACGCGCTCCGCAGAAGTCCCCCAGCGCAAGAGAGGTGCTCCCGAGCCTGCAGCGGTGGACCCCCGCCCTCCCCCGAGCCGGAGCCCGAGCCCTAGCGCGAGCGTCAGCTCGAGCTTGTCCCAGGGCCCGTGGCCCAGAGCCCCAGTCCCCAGGGTCGGGGAGGGAGGAGGAGGAGGAGGAGGAGGAGGAGGAGGAGGAGGAGGAGGAGGAGGACGAGGTGGAGGAGGAGGTGGAGGAGGAGGAGGAGGAGGAGGAGTAGGATGAGGAGGAGGAGGTGGGAGGGAGGGAGGGAGGGAGGGAGGGAGGGAGGAGGAGGAGGAGGAGGAGGAGGAGAAGGAGGAGGAGGCTCAAGGCTCAAGGCTCATAGGAAAGGGCTTAAGCCCCGCGGCGGCCCGGCCAATGGCCAGCGCATGCATCATTCACGGTTTGTGCTAGCTAAGCTGTTGGCGGCCCGCTGGGGAGCATTACGAGGAAGTTTGCGTGGCCATTGGTGCTGGTATAGCCGCCACCAGCCCACCAGGAATCCGATCACGCAAGGCCTACCTCCTTACGCTTGCCTGGTGGCCATTGGTGCTGGCCTAGCCGCCATCAGCCCATGTAGGCACGTAGTAAGGAATTGACTGCCTCAGTGCCATATTCGGCGAATGGCTCAGCAACGGGTCAAAAAGATGCGAACGCATAGCTCTCCTGAAAGATGGCGCTGCCCCCCTTGACAGCGAGCACTCGAAGCCTAACAACCTGCAGCCCCAGGGAGGTGCGTCGATATCTGCACTCGCCGCCATCTCCAGAGAACTCGGCCACTTCCTGAGAGAGCGCGTCTTGCTGTCCGCCCCGCGGGAAGCGGAGGCCTTCCCCACTGTCTCACGATACAAGGGGGGGGCAACTCCTCCACTCCTCGTCGATGCCCGCGGGTGCCCGGCGAGGCCCACGGGAGCACGGCGAGGCCCGCCGTGCCCGCCGCTTTTCCCGTCGGCTTCGGCGTGGCGCCTCGGGCCGCGCGCTCGCCCGCGGCCTCGCGTCGGGCACGCCCCTCCACAGGAGGAACAGTGTAGTGGCCTTCGGCCAGTGCCGCCGATTCGGGTCGCTTGGGGGGCCCCCCAGACTGAGCGGCGAGACTTCGCCGACAGACACGCGCGCACACGCTCCTCGAACGCAAGTAACAGAAGAGCCAATCAATATTGGCTTGCATGAGCCCGGGCACGGTCGGCCTATTGCCGCCCTGGGCACAGAGCGGGTCCTTTCCCGGCGATCGTGGGCAATCGAAGCTGCCTCACAACAAGCTGGGGCCCACGAGATTTCTCAGAAGGCGCCCACCACCCAGGAAATGTTTCCTGTTGCTGGATTGGCCGCCAGACATCCAGTTTTGCCTCAGTGTTTATTTCGTTGTGTCTGAAATGGCCTCGGCGATCACATGCATGGGAGACTTCGGCGGGGAACGTTGGTAAACACTCTAGATTCGCAGCTTGTGCGCATGCAGGGCCGACAAGAACATCTATTTGCACGGTTTCTACGCGGCGCCTGGTGGAGACAAGGACACTTGGAGCGCTGTCCTCCAGGCGAAAACCACGCTAGCTAGCAAATCTCCTGACCCGTGGCACGTTGTAGTTAGAGGTGGGAACGCGCATTAGGGAAGTTTCTCACCTCACCACGCTGGGTGTGGTTGTGCCCATGGCAAGCAGTCCACGTCCGACAGGGCCATTGAAATCATGATTGCCGAGGAAGGGCTACGCGTCTTCAATCCCAGCGTCCCTACCCACGAATCGGGCACGACCGTCGATGTCATGGTCGCCCCGCCAGACACCCCTAAAGAAGTGAGCGTATCCGGATCGTTCGTCGCAGAGTCTGACCATAAGATGGTCATAGGTCGCCTCCCGCTGAAGATCGCCCTGCGATGCGATTCCATGGTCGGCAGGGTTACCTGGGCATCATCAGAGGCATAGGCTTACGCCCTCCAGGCCATCGCGCCAGCACTACACAAGCTCTCCACAGGGATCGAGACCCTGATTGGGGACACATTTTTGGCTCCACCGATCTCGGGCGGAAGCGCTTCCAGGCAGGCGCGACGCGGCATCCTCGAGTGCGCTGCGTGGCGCCGCGACGCCCTCTACGTCCTTGCCGGGCACGCAGCAGGAGCAGTTCGGACCACGGCCCCCCGCATTGCGGGCCGCATTGCGGTCCATTTTCCAACGTTTGCTGGATTCAAACAAGCCGTCAGCGAAAGTGCATGGCAAGCCCGTCAGAACACGTTCAATCGTCACCTGGCCCTCTGTGGAAGCAGCCGCGGCAGGCGGACAGGATTCTCCCCCCCTGGCTCCGCGGAGAAACATCGCTGCAAATCGCCTTCGCGGGCTTGCAGACTGGAGGGTTGACATCCCCAGAGCAGACGGCCCAGGCGTTGGTTGCTGATCTATTCGCCAGGGCCCAAAAAGATGCCCCTCGGGACCCAGCCGCAGCACGAAAACTGAGCCAAGCAGTTGCGGCTATCCGAGCTGCAGGCGCCCTACCAGGAAGCGGCCCTGGCGCGAGTGGCGGGGCGTGGCAGCTGGCCTACGACTCCGGGCCGTGCACGGCGGATGAAATCGCCGCCGCAATCTTGAGATTGCGCTCCAGGGTAAGCACGCTCTGTTCCCCAGCTGCATTGAAATCCAACGTATTGGAGGGCCGCCGACTCGCGGCGAGGCTAGCAAACCTCTCCCGGCACCTAGGACTCACGTCGTCGCATTGGACACTGCGCAAATACACCCCGCGACGGAAAGGTGGGCCGCAGGTCGCCCGGCCCACAGCAGTCATTAGACCGATCAGCATATGTTCCGACATGGGTCAACGGATGGACGCTCGGGTCGCTCGCAACTTCTCTCGGATCCAAGCGCGTTGCAGGGGGGGCCAGGTCGGCGGGGTCTCCGACCCCATATCCGCGGTACTTGCGGTCCTCCTGCTGGGCGAGCTCCGCTTTTACCACGGCGTGGCTACTTACTATTGCAACTTCGACCTCAAGTGGAGTTGCGATGTGGCCGACCGCGATGGAGTGCTTATGGGGCCGACCTTCCTGGCGCTCACGGCCGCGAGTGGCCCAGGTTGGACGACGGAGACAGCCAGGGCAATCGAGCCCTAGATCTCCACGGGCTGCTCTCGCCCCCCTTAGCATGAGCTTGCGACGCCGCGCAAGGACGCCGCTTCCCGGCACCAGTTTTCAATGCCCAACTCCGCAGCGTGAAGGGCGATGTCCACGTTGTACACCCAGGGGGAGATACGGCCACGCCTCAGCCCTGGGCGCGCGAGGCGCTGCTCCAAGCGCGCGCGGTGGAGCCGGCTGAGCCATTCGCGACCTCGCCTTCGGCGCCGCAGACGCTGCAGCCAGTGGCAGAGGCTGTGCGCTTAGCGGCGCGACGAGCTGAGTAGAATGACAATTCGCTGGCCGCTACTGCATCCGCAATCACATCAACGCTGCCATACCTAGATGACCGTTTGGCCGCGGTAGCGACGACAGGGGGGCGCGCTTTCCCGCCCACCCAATGCGTCGACGACGCGGTCGTTGCACGTGCACCAGTAGGAACCGCGAGAGCAATCATGGATCAATCGTGCAACTCGGCGACAATAACCGATGCAAGGCGCTGCAAAGCTGCCTTTGATTTCGGCCCTGGCAAGACGGGGTTCATGGTCATCAATGGCAGCCCGCGCTTTGACCCCAAAAGCATGGGGTCTGATATGTCACCCTTTCACCGGCTGCTCGGGCCCCCGATTGATGCGGACCTCAGCTTCGCCCCGCACCTCGAGGCAACGATCGCCAAATGCCGTTCCATCTTCAACGAGTTATCCCACGCTGCAGAAGCGGGGGGGGGGGCCCCGCTCCTCCCTTCGCGGCCCAGGTCACGATGCGCGTCGAGTCTGCCGTTCTATCTGGGTCTGCAGCGTTGGCTGGGGTCCCCAATGTGGAGACCGACATGAACATGCAGGCATTTTGGGCCCGATGGGGGGCTGGGGTACCGGCGCGGCTGGGGCGCGCAATGCTTGAACGCGCATGCTTGAACGCGCAATCATTGCGAGGGCGCGTTTCGGGGCGCCGCCACCTGGCCGCCCAGCTGCTGTCGCGCGGGTTGCTGCCCAGGCGTCGCCCGCCCCTATCTGGTGGAAGTGGGCCAGCACCATCGCGGCGGACGTGCCGGGGGGGCGATCCCCGACATCAGCCAAGTAAATCACTTCATTCCCTGCGTTCCGGCGGCGACCAGCTGCCCGATCGCGAGCAAAGATGTCTTCCGGCTCGACCGCCTGGCGCTCTGGGAGCACGACCGGCGCTCTGGGAGCACGACCACCCTTCGGTCGACGCGGCGGCGAATGGCGACGCCCTTGGTTTCGCAGTGCCTTTCAAAGACTCCATCCCGGCGGGGA